GTCCAGTTTTTGTGTGATGCGATCGGTGTTTAGTACCAAACACAGACCGGTGACGTTGTGGAGGCTGTGGTGAAGGTATACCGATCGAGCCCCATTCAGTTGGTCTGTCAGACTGACGCCCGTAATACGGAGAATCTGGGCTCGCGTTGCTGCATGATGAGATTTTGCCAAAAGTTGGTCCTTCTTGGGGATTCAGTTTAAGAAGACGAAGCACAACTCAGCTAACCCACCTCGCTTAATCTTCTCCTTGATTAGCTTTATGCAAGTGTTGGCATCTTCGACAGGGTTATGAGACCCTTGCTGTACGTCAATGTTCAGCCAGGTTTTGGCACACCACTTCAAGCTTGGGCGGTCAAAAGTGGAAGCATTCTTGCCTCTTGGATGATCAAATACTAGAGCAGTGTCGATCACACGTGAATGGGATAATTTTAGAGCCTTCAGGTCGTTATGGAGGCTATGACCAATCAGGACTGTGTTAGAGTCCTGAAACAAGGTCAACAAGACTGCCTGGACCTCAGCAAGAGTTTTGGTAGAGCCCGAGAGGTCATCTCGGGAGATGCCTGATTTGCTAATAGAGTGTGCGTTAATTCGAATGATTTCTACGCTTCAATAAGAAAGCCCTTACTCCACTAAATAATCAGTGACCTCGCGAGGGGGGATCACGTAGGTATTATAGACTACTGATTCTGAAAAGAAGTCCACAGCACAGATTTGAGCCAACACGGATTCATCACCGCACATCACCTGATGGAATTAAATAAGTCCTGGCTCTGGTGGCAACATGTTGGGCGACTGACCATTTCACAATCTATTGCAAAAGCACGTCTCACATTCTTGGTGGCCTCGGTTGCTGCTCTTGGAGTCTCCACCCATTCGGCGGTACGGATGGGCGGCTTCGAGTAAGGGCCTCGATACCCAACTTGACCAATGGACCGGGAGAGGTAATTTGGCACCATAAAGTCTCTCCGGTCCATCTCCGTAGGGCTTAGAATAAATGGTAAAAGCTGCTTTCCCAAGAGACGGTTTCTGCGAACTGCAAGCTACAGGTTTTAGGAAGGGCCTTCTAAGGTTTCGAGATGGGATTCCCTCACATTGCTTCTGCTTTTCCCGACAAAAATCATCCCATTGCGCAAATCTCCTTGCCTCTTCTAAGTAATAGTCCGAGATATGAGTTGATTGAGGATTCAAAATAACGAACGTTAGGAACTCCGTCAACCTTTCCCGCCGATGAGGGTACAATTCAAGATACCGCGAAATGCGTATCATGAGCGTATCATCGGCGTCAATCGTTTGCTTATAGGAATGGATGTACTGCCAGATATCAGTTATGAAAAAGTTTTCCCAACTGGCCGCGGACCTCTTACCAGTGATTGACCAAAGAATCCATAGGTGTCGGCAAGCACCTGGGCAGTGAGCATGTTGTTCATGGACTCTGCACGCCACCGAGGCGGAAAAGCGAGGGCACCCTTTGTAGAGAGCCGTTGAGGCACATAACAGATCGCATTATCTGCCAAATGCATGCTTCAGCTCCCAGCGATTAGATGTATGTTATAGAGTGAAAAGTGAATCTGGAGACAGGAAGAACGTTGAGGCTCAACACATTGTTATTGATGATGTTGAGCTCGGAGTCTTATAGGATCCATAGAGAGATTTGTCTCGCTTAATTTGTCTCGCTTGACTGAGACCAAATGCCGGTGCGAGCGTCACTGCGTTATGTCACTGGCGTCCATCCAACTTTAGTGAAACGTAGGGCATTGAAAGCGGACGCAACCACGTGTTGGTAAATTGAATTGAACTTATTCATCTGTCTTCGTTGTAGGTTTTGGGTAGTTTCTGCTGTTCTAGTGGAAGACATTCGGTTCGCTAATCAGGGGGCTCGGAAATTGCCAGGAATAAATCCGACAAAGAGGAGTCAGGGCCCTGACAACAGACTCATCTACTAACATCATCGACTACTCAACAATGAAGGGGGGGACGCTGAAACTGTCGCCAGCTACGACTCCTCTTCCCTTTGACGTACTTGTCACAGCCTCATATCTGGGAACCCCAATAGTATTTGACCCAGATACTTCTCAACCAGTGCTTGAGGTTGACGGAACGGCCATTTCGGATCCAGCAGATATCATCAACAATCTCACTTCGAAATTATTACCTACAAACCCCTCAAACAATGTTCAAGTATGTTATTCCCATCTCTTCAGGGTCGGCAACTCAAGTTATCTCTGTAGCATACTTCCTTCATTTCACTGGCGAAATCTCTCGCAACTGCGTCCTCCTACGCCGATGTCGTCGCGGCACTTGACTCACTGGATGACCACTTATTGCTCAGATCATTCCTCGTCGGTTACTCGATTACCGCAGCGGACTTTTCCGTATGGGGGGCTCTCAAGGGTTAGACATAATTGAATTCCCACTTTTCAAGACTACTGACCCGTATACCAAAAGGAAACGTCCAAGCACTGGGTATTCTTAAGCGCAATGGCCACATTCACATTTCGAGATGGTATAGCTTTATAGAATCAATACCTTCTACTCAAAGTGCGTTGAACTCGCTCGCGGAGGCTAGGGCTAACAAGGCAAGTAGTTTATCGATAATCCCCTGGTGTTTAGCATTAAGACGTCATGATAGGCAAGAAGCACCAAGGTCGCAGCGTCCTTCTCCCTCGGTCTTCCTAACGCGGTCGAGGGGAAAGTTGTCACCCGCTTTCCACCAGAACCTAGTGGATATCTACACATTGGGCACACTAAAGCTGCTATTCTAAATCAATATTTTGCGGCAATGTATAAGGGTAGAATGCTTATTAGATTCGATGATACTAATCCATCAAAAGAAAAGGTAAGCCGTTCAGTGAATGCTCGGACACAGCATGCTGATCAACGTCCCAGACAGAATTTGAGGATACAATTCTCCAAGACCTTGAATTGCTGGATATACGGGGTGATGCGGTATCGCATACGTCCGATCACTTTGATGCTTTGCACCGATACGCAGTAGAAATAATCAAATCGGGAAACGCGTATGCTGATGACACACTTCAGCTTCAGGTGAGTATTATTATTATTGTTTTGGAGAGGTAGTTTCTGATATTTGGCAAAGATGAGGGAAGAGCGCATGAATGGAATCGCATCAAAACGGAGAGATACTTCTGTTGAAGAAAATTTGAAACGTTTCGAGGAGATGGCAACCGGAAGTGAAGAAGGGGCCAAATGGTGCATTCGAGCCAAGATCAGCGTTGATAATCCCAACAAAGCCATGAGGGATCCTGTGATCTACCGTGTCAATACCACGCCACATCACCGCACTGGGTATGCTATATCTTATCGATGGCGTGAACTTTGTTAACCAGATCTGAAGGGACAAATGGAAGATCTATCCCACATATGACTTTGCTTGTCCCATTGTGGATAGCATCGAGGGCGTAACTCATGCATTGAGGACAAACGAATATCGCGATCGTAATCCACAGTATCAATGGATGCTTGAGGCTCTCAAGCTCCGCAAAGTTGATATTTGGGACTTTAGGTGAGTGCTAATAATATTGTTCGGCATTCAACATGTAACATCTCTTTGCAGCCGGGTCAACTTTGTGTACACTTTGTTATCCAAGCGTAAACTTACCATGTTTGTCGATAAGGAGGTCGTGCATGGATGGGATGATCCTCGTTTCCCAACTGTTCGCGGTAAGTACGCTCCATTTCCGTTTATTCAACTTGTATTGACTTTAGTTGGAAGGCATACGGCGCCGCGGCATGACCATCGAGGCACTAAAACAATACATGTTGTCACAAGGGCCCTCTCAAGCCGTTCTCCTTCTGGAATGGGACGGTATTTGGGCAACAAACAAGAAGATCATTGATCCAATTGCACCCCGCTTTACAGCACTAGCAAAGGAGAATTTGTAAGTTATGCTAACCCGGTTTTCAATCTTTGCTAACAAGAAAGAAAGGGTCACTGTACATATCAATGGTCAATCGGGCGTTACAACGCAATCAGTGCCAAGACACAAGAAAAACCCCGATGTGGGTACCAAAACAACGGTTTACTCACCAGTAATTTATATCGAGCAAGAAGATGCCTCCTCGTTTGAGGATAATGAAGAAGTAAGCGTATCACTATCCAGCAGTGGATAGTGTTGACAATAGTCCCGCTAGATCACGCTTATGGACTGGGGAAATGCTATCGTCAAATCAAAACAAGTATCCGACTCTGGACAGATTGCATCAATGACGATGGATCTTTATCTGGAAGGCGACTTTAAAAAGACCAAGAAGAAGATTACCTGGCTCGCGGAATCGAGCTCAGCCAATCCTCTCGTTAATGTCACTCTTCTGGATTACGATTACCTTATCACCAAAAAGAAGCTCGAGGAAGAAGATGATGTCTTCAACTTTGTCACTCCCGTCAGCGAATTCAAGAGTGAAGCCCTTGCAGACGCCAATGTAATCACTCTATCCAAAGGCGATATCATCCAGTTTGAGAGGAAAGGATATTACATTGTGGATGCTGTCAAACCCGACAAGACCCTCGACTTGATTCGAATCCCCGATGGTAAAATGGCGAGCCTTGCAAGCAAAGTAGCTGGATCTACACCAGTAGAACCTGTTCAGGCAATCCCCAAAGCCAAGTCCTCAAAGAAAGGTCCAGCTAACGAGCTAGCACCGAGAAAAGAAGGATTCGTCGATCCTGATGGAAACAGAATTATGTTGTCAGAGGGCAAGTCAGGCTTCGAGATTCCAGTGACAACCAAGATGTATGATGTCAAGAGAGTGTTTGGGGAAACGGAGGTTCAAGCTGCTGCCGAAACCAAGATGTATTCGGTCAAGAGCGTATATGATAGGTAGAGGGCAGGTGTATCTCATCATCGTCTTTGGTAATGTTGTTAGTGACAATGCAGATCGATGAACCCAGAACATGTATCGAATCTTGGTGCTTTTGATTGTTGCAAACTTCATTTAATGACAACACAATCATGAGCAATTTTGAGATCTTCCCCTTTGTCGCCCGCGTGGCGTAATCGGTGGCGCGTGAGACTCTTAAATACTTGTATTTAAAAAACCATCTCAAGGTTGCGGGTTCGACCCCCGCCGTGGGCTAATGGGTATTCTTTTGCCTTTTTTATTTTATTTTTTTGAGGCAGGAATCCGTGGTGCGTTGTGGGGGAAAACGCGAAAAAAACCTAAGGTAAAGAGTAGATAGTAGAAAACGAACATGTTCGATCTACTTTTGGAAAATGGGAAAATGAAGGCCCTCGGAGTATGTTATCGGCACGCTAAAGGTTAACTTTTTGGCACAAAGGCTTGAATATGATGACTAACTTGAGCAAAATGAAGTCAAGCCTTAGAGAAATCTGCGGATGTTCTATCATTGGTGTCCAGGAGGGAGCACGAGTAGCTTTTTCATACAACAATAGAGTTTATTCAAAGCCAAAACTACTAAGTACTAGGGGTGCAAGGGTGCAATCAACCTAAGCCGCCTTGACTGGTTGCTAGGTTCGTTGTCGCTGGCATCATCAAGTTCGTAACTAGGTTTATCGGAAAAGGCAGACTTGATGTTGGAATATTGAGCTCGCGGCAAACTGGGTAGTGGTCAGCGAGTGAAATCACGTAAAGGTTAGACACTCACACGCGTTCAGATCTTCCTCCAAATAAGCAAAGAAACCGACGGCATCACCCTCCACCCCATGACGAAATAACTTTGTGATAACGCGATCCCCGCGTTCATCGATCGCGTGATTCCGAATCACGCATACGAAGTGATCGATATACTCCTTTGCTGTGTCATAGGAGATTAAATGTTGAAAGTCTTCTTGGTTGTCTTCTGGAGCCACTTGTTTCGGCTATGATGTTGGTCGACCCATGTGGAGACCTTTATAGGATGACAATCGGAGAAAAGCCAGAAAAATCTTTCGGGAGCACATACCTTCATCCGAATAAATGCAGTCCCTACACGGCGAATGAGATCGACGCGATACGCGTCGTCACCAGAAGCTCATACAACTGTTCCACGTAGCTCTCCCAATCGCGTTGTATTGAAGTCCGCTTAGCCCGAGACTCCTCGTTAGCGGCTGACTCTGCTAGCGCCTGATCATTCATTTGCTGGAGGAGTTGCGGGTTGTTCTTTTTTAGTGCAACAAGGAGATCGCCGAAACGTGATTTTCTATACCTGACTTGTGGACGAATTGTCGAGGGCACCTGCCGGTTGGAATCGACCTGGGCTGTGGCCTGGTGACTACTAGAAGAAAATGACATGTTCAAGAGTGAGGGCTTGGTAAGAGAGGCCTGAGGGTATTTGAAGACCTTCCGAGCAGGTTATTATGATTGTTGTTGTCACGTGCTCGATCGAGTAAACAGAAGAAGTGACGTCATGGATCAAAGGGATTCCCGAAATATTATCATAGCGCGCTGGACGCGCCGATCCACGATTCTACGTAACTATCACTTTTTCATCACATAGTGTTTTATAATGTGATGGATCTAATTAGCATACGTTATAGAAAGAAAGTGCTCTGTAATAGGTTGCGCCTGCGTAAGCAGCGTATTGCTCTGGAAGGATTCGCTTTGATTGCTTTGTATCATGACTTGGTCACGTTTAGAATAGATTAAATTGCTAGGATGGGATGACCTGGAAGTGGTTCGCGATTTTTCCAATAAAATTGAGAATGGGTTACTTTGATGTGAGGTGGTTCATGATAGGGTGCATAATATAGCGAGCTGTTGGGATATATGCAGAGCCAGCTCCTGAATCGAGGAGGGGGCCGGGTAATCATGAGGGACAGCCGAAAAAATGCTTCAAGGGGTGGGGTTTCTAGAGGAGGCAGAAGGTCAGCGTGCAGCAGCTGGTCAGCGACCGGCAGTATTTGAACCAAAGGAGTCTTCATTATGACTGGCATTCGGGAGATGGCATCCGGCGACAAATGGGCTGGCTGCCTGGCAAACCAGAAGTGACATGTAGTGATGGATTGACATTGTTTATCGCATGGAAAGAGGGTGTTTGCTGATTATGGGGTGTAGGGAGGCAAGGAGGTGTCGTATGAGGAGATGGTATGACTGGCATTGCCAAGGACGGGTGCCAGAGTGTTTGATCTGTGGTTGCTTTGGAGAGGCAGCGTATGGGATTTGACTTCGATGGGCATTTTGAATTGGACCAGGGTTGGAAAGGAGAGTGAAGGGTAGTGAGGGAGAAGTGGAAGTTGATGGCTACTCAAGGTAATATCGTGTCGCGCTGCCACGGTGGAGGGTTCATTCGACAGAAGTGGAGGGTGGTGTTGAAGACGAGGGTGGGGATGAAAGCAAAATCGGAAGCATCCAGAGAGAGATAGAGTGTTAGGTGCCGCCCGACATCCTACCTTCAGACTGCAAAGTTGGATTGGAGCTAACGGACATAAACCCTATATCCCCACAAGTCCCCAAAAATCGCTGTAGAGGACGTACTAGACAACCCCCGCAGCAGGCTAATAGAATATCCTTTTGCTTTCTTTATTTTTCTTTAGGCTGGAGTCCGTGGTGTAATGTGGGGGAAAAACTTAGGAGGTAAAGAGTGGATAGTAGAAAACGAACATGCTCGATCTACTTTTGGAGGAACTCGTTGTGACGTTGCTTTAACCACAACGAGTTTCTTGACATTGATTGCAATCTTAGAATGGTTCGTTTAATAATTGAATCCGGTTCTGCTGAACTCAACTTTTTTTCCTACAAGTGGCGAGAATACTTTCCCGTGAAGGTATCTACAAATACTATGCTCAAGACATGCCAGTGGTTAACTGAATCATGATAACAGACTATCAATGCCTTCTTCTTCCTTTGGTACACTGCGGCCAATGTCTTTATATTCTCATTAGCTCTGAATGTCTCTGCTGCTAACCCTCAAAAATATGGCTATGGGATTGGCAAAGAGACCTTGTTAACTCCAAGCCCTTTCGTTTACTTTGCACTATTCGTAATACATATTCTCTTCGCTGGCACCGTTTTATATGTTCAGTGGACTGAAAGGGGGAAGCAGCTGGTCGTGGACCAATTCGGCTTGTGAGCTCTACAGCGACTGATCTGTTTATTGATTGCTGACCACCCACATATAGAGGATTCTCCTTGCTCATGGCACTCGGTACTTTATGGGCCGGAGCCTGGGTCAGAAGATGGTATATCCCTGCATTTGTTTTGGCTCTTTTGGTGTTTCTTGTGGCCACCTGGATATACGTACGACTAAAGAGGAACAATCGCTTCACGATCGAATCGGATATCCAAGAACATGGTATGTAAAATGCGATGGCTTTGGATGATGGGTCCTGATGCATGATCACTTGTAGCCTTTGTCCATGTTGGTCTTTCCATCGGCAATACCCATAGCTGATCTGACTGTTATTATTAGCTTCCATTTTCGCTCTATCATGGCTGGTCAATATGTGAGTGAGATCTTCTACCGATTTATTACATCTAATGCTCATTCATTCTCAAGTCATGTTGGTGATCACTACATTTTCTGCCTTTGCCCCATTCCCCCCCTTTTCAGGATTGTGGACCACAGTGTTTGCTGTATGGCTCTTGTACGTATTCAACAGTTTGAACTTACATGTCCCTAAGCATGTCACCTTTAGGATACTCCTGGCAGGGACTTCGGTCGGCTACTCGATCGCCGTACCAGAGGGAGACATCGCTGGCGCAACGGTGATTACTTTCGGCCTTTATTCAATTTTCATCCATCGTGTTAGGTATGAATCGTCGCATGGAAACCAGCAACCGGTAGTGGTGTGGGCCTCCCTAGCGGCTGCTATAATATCCGCAGCTGCCATCGTTCAAAGTGGGAGAGGAATATGGAAAGTCAGACGAGGAGGTGCATTGCGTTTAGATGCAGTGGGAGGTGTAGAAGATGTCACTCCGGATAATCACGGAAGGTCTTCAAGACCTGGCGGAGTGTGAAGATGTGACGTCCGCATGTCTACTAAACAAAATCACAATGTGCGTATAAAGCAAAGCAATCATATAGCCCGCTGCTTGAGTCTTGCTCCTATAGTTCTCAAAGAAGCGTAGATCTTTCCGGGTGGGCTGCCAAGAATTAGTGAAACAATAGCATCCCTAGCTATCTTGATATTTTGGAAAGAGCCGAGGATATGAATTTTCCTATAGCGAAATAAATTAGAACAAGGTGAACTCCGAAACAACAAAAACTCACGTGTCAGCAAGGATGATGCGAGTCCGGCTAGCGTTCTCGATTGTGAATTTTGTCTTGCCATCTTGGCCAGCTATGCGACCTGTTTCAGAGTAATTGTAAGAGAACGAACTTTTGCCGACAAACAAGGGCGCACCTATTGCACGAGACAAATGTTCGCCTTGCAATGTCTTGACATCTTTGATCTCAAAGGAGTCAAGATACAGATCGTCCAACCGCAAGAGTGCAATAGCGTCCTGTGGAAAAGATATCAATGGGGTGCCTAGTTGAATAATCGTGGATATCATACTTGAATATCAAACCCTAGGGCATAGGCCCTAACAAAATCGGCACCTTTTTGGATGGCACCAACTTCTTTAGTATGCCGCGATGTCTGAACAAACAGTGTTCAGTCACTAACTGGGCTGATACAAGTTCAGGAGGACCTACTCTCAATTCTACTGCTCGGCGATGAACATTCATTCGTACTTGCAGTCCCACCATCTCGGTCAAAGGGGAAAAGATGTTGACCCAGTCCTTCTTGAGAGGAGTCATGCGATGAGGGGGGATTGGTATTCGTCTTGTCTCAGTTGCAGTTGTAGTTTTCTGCGCTGACGCTGATAATGGTGCGAAATTAGGTCGATCATTATTGTCGGCTGATGGGTCGGAGTCTGTTAGAATAATGTCGGTATGCGAGATTACGGTCTCCCCAGCCACCAAAGGGTCTATCATCACGTCGTCTTCCTCATCATCTCTTGCATCAAGTGGTACAGCTTCTTCCTGACTTGGAACATGCACCTTGGATGGATTGGACGGTCCAACGATTGATTCCTTGGCTGATTTTGCTCGTGCTTTCGCCGAGACAGACACTCCTCCTCTCCTCTTTTTCTTGGTGTTGACGATATTAGATGTAGACACAGGTGCCATTATTGCAGCAGTCAAAGACAAAATT